GTCTGTCCAGTTGCCCACAAGGACCTGAATAACACCAGCAGTCATCAGAAGAGCTTAGAAGTGGATCTTTTGCCAGCTGAACTTTCAGATGAAACCATAGATCTATGCTAACATCTTTTTTTTAATACTTTTTTTTATTGGAAAAATACTGTACAGAAGGGTTACAGTTACATGAGCAAGGTCATGAATACATTTCCTATCAATGATTGTTACTTCCTCCTTTGTTTTTCCCCTACCCACCCTTTTCCCTTTCTCCTCCCCCTCCCCACCTAAATTGTAAAGTTCATTTTTCACCATAGTGTCTTGTACATCGCATTGTTACAGTGGATCAACCTGTATCCCTCTTTAAGCATTTTGTTTTTTCCCTTCTCCTCCTCACGCTAGAGAAGTATATATACAAGATGCAGGGCACCAATATCAAATACAGTGAAAATGGGTTATACCGTGGGGGAGAAACATACAAAGAAACAAAAAAAATTACATGGTACATTATAAATACAGTAGGAACAATAGAACCCCTATCTTGGGATTCTGTGCTAACATCTTGATTGCAACCTGTGAGGGACTGAAGCAAAGGAGCCAGCTGAACTTGGCTTAGACTTGGAAAGAGAAGCTGGTGTGTTCACTGGCTAAGCTTGAGGTCATTTGTTTTGTATCAGTAGTACATTATACTTCTGTTGTTAGCATTTATACTCCTAGGTATCTACTCGAAAGGAATTGATAACCCATAGACATGATTATGAATATTCAAAGCATTGGTATTGACTGGTAACTAGGTGAACATAATGTGATATTTTCATACCATGTCACACTGCCCATCAATCCAGGAAGGAGCTACTGATATAGGCCACAAGGCCAAGGTAGCCAAGTGTGAAATATTCACATTCTATGATTCTATTCAGTAGAGACTTCTAGAAAAGCCACCACTGGTAGAGATTAAGCAAGTAGTGATTTTACTGGGCTACCAGTAGGAATAGGATTTGATTGCTGTTACATATAATTGGTTGTCCTCAAATCCAAAATTTTAGAAATTCCCTGAAAATTTTTAGACTACTGACAGTATCATATGTGAATCATTTCAATACAGCTTTAAATAAGTAGCTTAATTTTTTTCTTTTTCTAATTGTTATTGTAAAGGTGATGTACAGAGATGTTATGGTTTATAAGTCAGGTAAAAACTACATTTCTTTTTGAACAGTGTCACCCCTTCCCTCACTCTCTCCCAGTTTTTCCCTCCCCTTCCCCCTTACAAGTAATATAATTTTACTCTCCACTTACTCTGTTCAGTGGGGGCTAATGTTTGGAGATAATTTTATTTTTGCCCATCCTTGTACAATCCTTCCCCACCCCTGACCTTACCTGTTGGGAATTCCCTTTAGGCAGCTTGGACCCAGAAAAGTACTTGCTAGAAGCTATTTAAATTTCACAGTGTTGTAAATACCTTGGTGGATAGATTTGCTTTTCAGGTTTTTTCTTATTCTTTTCTATGCCCTCTTATGTTGAAAATGACCAGCACTTCGTAATTTTTAACAAGCAACATTTGCCTCTACTGAATGCCAAGCTGCGGGTAATTGCTCCTGGGATCTTGAGTTAACAGATCCCCCCTACCTCCACCCATCCTTCTCTCCCTTCCTTGAAAACAATTTCTGTAAAACCTGCTCTATTACCCTCCCTTCTTCCCCCTTCCTAAAGCAATTTCAATAGATTTTATAGTTCTCTTTTCATAAACTCAGACAATCAAGCTGCTTATATTCATTCTTTCACCCTCCGAGTTAGCCCAACCCCTTTTGCTAGTACCCACCCCACAACAGAACTGATTTCTCTTTCCCTGTCCCCTGTGAGCCAGGGATTTTCTTCTTATGTTAAGTGCATTTGTATCTCCAGCAGTTCCTTTTCACAGGTGAAAAACCAAACAAGGATTTGTTTCCGTTGCTTTTACTTCACTCTTCTGGGGCCATTGTGGAATTATCTGAGAATGAACTGATCTGAGAATGTTTCTTCTTAGTTTTCTTCTCTGCCAGTAAATTCTCCAAGGGCTTTGTGAATGCACAATGTATTGTGCATGAATTCCCTCAAATAATATTCATAACTTGGTCAGCTCAATTAGACTATATACCAGTGTATATATTTTTTGATCTGTCTCACCCTTTCCTTTTAAAATTCCCATCTTAGACTTTAAACTCCATGAGCATTTAGAATTTTTTTTTTAATTTTGTTTGCTTCTTTCTTTCTTTACCTTTTTTTTTTTTTTTTTGGGGGTCCGGTCGTGGGGCCTGAACTTCCCTCAGCTCTTCAGCTCAAGGCTAGCACTCTACCACTTGAGCCATAGCACCACTTCCGGCTTTTTTCTTTTTGCTTATGTGGTGCTGAGGAATCAAACCCAGGGCCTCAGGCATGCAAGGCAAGCGCTCTACCACTGAGCCACCTTCCCAGACCCTCTTTCTTTACCTTTTAAACCAGCATTTGGGCTTAAACTCAGGGTCTTGTGCACTTGCTTTGCTTTTTTTTCTGTTCACGGCTGGTGCAGGAAAGTGGAGCCATACCTCCATTTCTATTTTTTTTTGGTGGGTAATTGGAGATAATCTCATGAGTTCTCTGCCTGGCCTGACTTCAAACCAGTAATCCTCAGATCTCAGCCTCTTGAGTACCTAGGATTACAGGCATGAGCCACTGGCATCTGACTGTAGAATTTTTAGTTTATTTTTTTGTGCCTGTCCTGAGGCTTGACCTCGGGGCCTGAGCATTGTCCCTGAGATACTTTTTGTGAAGGCTAACATACTACCACTTGAGTCACAATGCTACTTCCAGCTTTTTCTGAGTAGTTTGTCTCATGGACTGAGTAAAGTCTCATGGACTTTCCTGCCCAGGCTGGCTTTGAATCACAAGATCATCAGATCTAATCCTCCTGAGTAGCTAGGATTATAGGTATGGGTCACTATACCAGCTGACCTTAGACTTTTTAAAAGGTGATAAGATGATGTTTATGAGAGTTCTCTAATATTATTTTGAGCCTTTTACCCACAGAAACTATTGTTGGAACACTCATGTGAGTGTGTTTGTGCCTCCCAATGAGGCTTGGGTAGATAAGACACTGTTGAGAGCACTGAGCAGATTAAGGGCTGGGGGACAGGAAGCCTGCAGTAGCTTGGTGGAACACAGCCAGGAGTTGGATGCCTCCCTCTTGCTCCTGTTCAAGTCATGGCACCTCTGTGAACTCCACTTTCCTCATCACATCTATATTTGATCATCTTGGCAGGATTAAACAAGATAAAATTTATCAAAGTTATTCTCTACACCATTTAAAAATGTATAAAGATTCCTATAAAAACGTAAGCAGGCTGGAATAAAATACTACTTTTAATAGTCAATACATTTTGTGTTGACAGCTTCAGCGTTCCTCTCTAAAACCGATGGGCCATACAAATTTATAAACAAATCCAGAAGGCCATTGAGAATGTTAAAGGAGAACAATATGAAATCCAGTGAATCTGTGAATGATGACAAAATGAAACTTACTGAAGGCTATTGAAAAATAATAGGGGATGGTAGGCATGAGATAGAGTAAACAAGGGAGCAAATCTGATTAATATACTATAGATGCTACATATATGCATAAACATTAACTGAAGCATTGTACAGAGAGGGATGTAACTGCTTAAAACGAATTCTAGGAAGCTAGATCAGGGGTTGTCAGGGGAGGTGTGAGGTCATAGGGAGGTGGGTGGATGAATGGAGAGAGGAAGGGTAGATAAATACAGTCTTACTATTCAATGTATCTATGTGAATATGGAACTAGGTAGGTGAAGATCACAGATGGGGTTGAGATAGATGGTGAAAAATGATGAACTGGGTGCCACTGATCAAGATACTCATAAACTGACACGTTAAATTGAAACCCCTTGGTACAACTACTTAAGGATAATAGGAAAAATAAAAATAAGTAAAAGGTACTGTGTACACATATGTAATGTGTGGTGAAACCCTTTTGAATAATTAATATATACTAAAAATGAACGCCAGGAATATGAAATCTGTTTTATCTGATGGGATATGGGTACTGGTTGGGGGGGTAATTGAAGAGAGTGAAGAAGCATGTCTGTAGTTGGAATACTTTATGAACATGTGTGAATGGAACAGGGAAGTTTGTTTATACTCGTTTGGGAAGAGGGAGTCAAAAGAGAAAGACAGAAGGGCCATTGCATGCATATATGGACATGTCAAAATGAAATCTCCTTATACAGCAGATTGGTGGTAATAAAAATATAAAAACAAAAAAGAACATTGAGAGGAGATGAATGCTCTTCTCAGAGCAAACAAAATCATGCCTGGTTCCAGTTGTCTTTCAAACTCTAGGTTATGTCTTCAATAACACTATCCTAGTCTCTCTCTAATTCTGCTTCATTTTCTAAGTGCCAGAGGACTTTGAAATGATGATAATATACAATGTTTTAGGTCCTCTTGCAGATTGTTTTTGGTTACTTGGAATTCTTCATCTCTGTATCTGAAACTAGAATGACATTACCTTCCTCCCCAATGAATTCTGTGCTTTCTTTGAAGTATATCAAGTGATCGTGGTAGAGCTATAGCTGGGCTGCAGGGACCCAGAGAACTCCTTCTCCAACCTTCATAACCCATGTGAAGCAGTTCTTTGAGATGGACATGGAAAATAACTTTTCTACTTATTTTTCAGAAGTAATATCATTCAGTTAAATGACTCACCAGAAACACTTTTGTAGGCTCGGAGAATTGTTCCTTCAGAAGATATAGAACATAGAAGCCCAGAGCAAACCATTTGAGATGTGAAAGTAAAAACAAAACAAAACAAAAAAACAGCAAGGCACCTGGAGTTAGAGGGAAAAGAGGAGAAAAGATTTTCCTTCTGGACTTTTAGAGTCTTACAATTAGTATCAAATACTGAGCAAAGCAGTTAAGCTTGCAAATTCAATTGTTGTTCTGGAACAATTATTGAATTATTTTTCAATCTGCTCTTCTTTGTGTAGGCTCGGCCGGTAGATTACCCGAAGGATTACCTTTCTCATCAGATTCCTATATCATTCCACAAACATTGGAACATTGATCCAGTGAAGGTGTATCACACGTGGCTGGCACCCAGCATGGAGGACAAAACCAGGCAGGAGACACAGAAAGCTTCTAAGGAAGAGTTATAGTCTGATGGCCCTGGTATAGAACATGGAAAGGAACAGCCATGGAGACCTGAACTGTCCCACTGGGCTGTGCTCATCATACTGCTTGCATAAGCCACTGGGCACTGGACACTTTGTGACATGAGGTGGAAATAGTGCATAGGGTATTGATGGGTGAATAAAAGTACTCTTAGGGGAAACGGATTTTATTTTATTTTTTTTTCTAGGAAAAAAAATTACTTGTTTTGTGATGGATGCCATTACTGTAACACAATGTTTACTGTGCATTTTCTAGGCTGTGATACAGCAGCTTTAATGCTGTCATGGGGAAACAAATGGTACCCGAAGTCCCTTCCCCGTTCCCTCTCTTCATGATGAGTTTCAGTTGGGCATGAGAGTGGAGAAATGTGACTGGCTATCATTTCCTATAAAGAATGATGACCTTTTTGTTGTGGATATTGCCCATGGTAATGAACTTTTATGCCATATTATTGATAATGAAAATTCATTTCTGGAAACTCAGTCGGAATGGTACTGTATTAAGGGTGATTCATAAAACATCATAAAAGCCTAAATATAAAAACTCCCTGTCGTCTATATAATATGGTTGTTATATTTTTATCTATTTTTTTGTTGCTTATGGCCTATCGAAAGGCCTTTGGCCTGACTCTCCTGTTTCTTTAGAAGTTCATCTATGTGCCATTTCTCTCTAAGCCCCTATCTTTAAGGCCAGCCAGAAATGAAGATCCTCAGTATTTCAAAGCAAGTCCATGTGTCTCCCTCAAGTCAGCAGCTTTTGAAGACTCAGGAGGTGAATTCCACGTAGACCTGCCATTGTACCTTGTTTCTCTGTGAGACTTTCTCCTCTGGCTCGGCATAGACAGCTCAGCTCCAGCCAGTACCCATGACACCCTCTGGGAAGGATGGCACAGGGACTTGGCAATATGTCTGAGTTCTTAAACAGTGACATTTGAACATAGTGTTAAAAATAGCTCTAGTTTGGAAATCCTATATTTAATATATAGTAATTTAACACATTCAGTATTACTCTATAAAAAGTACTCTATATTTTAATGCTTTTAATTCTATTCACGTTTGTAAAGATATTTGCATAAGATTTCATTTTAATATGTCATACTAATTTTGGTACAGTAGAATACTTTCTTCTTTTTTAAAAAAAAATGTTCTTCATTAACTTTGCTTATAATGCTTTTTGTAGCCAGGCACAGGGTTTTAAAGCCATATCACTGAAAGTACCTGTGTGTGTGTGTATACCTTTTTTTTTAAAACAATATATACATATACCTTTGATGTAACTTAGAGTTAACTAATTTCCAAAGTGATCCAGTAGCTTTGGTATATTAGCCAGTACCAGGATTGGCAGGTGACAATGCAGGTTAGTACTGGCAGTGCACACTGGGAACTGCGACACCCAGGGCTCCAGTGGACACCCAGGGCTCCAGTGCACAACTGGAAACCACAGGGCACATCCAGCACTGTGGTAGACACCCAGTCCTGCAGTGTTCAGCTCTGAAGCCAGTGTTCACACACTACAGTGCACATGTTACACTGCACTGGACACTCAGTGCTGCAGTGGACACCCAGCACTCCTGTATACATACACAGCACCGCAGCACACAGTGGACACCTCATGCCAAATTGCCTCAGTGGAATGCTCTAAATTCAGTTTGCAGAATGGCTTTGTGACTCACCGAAGAAAGGGATTGAGGACAACCACGGGTTAAGGGGCTCTCTAGGGATTTCTAGACCTTCCAAGGCTTCTCTGATTCTGTCAGCACTGTTGTCCTTGCAGCTGGGATCACTGTCATTTCTACCATGAAGGAATACTCCTGGAGGACCTGGTGGTCACAGTAGAGGAGACGAGTCTTGGTTTCTTCTGCCTCAGCCTCTGTTACCCTCAGAAGACAGCGTGACAGTGTCTGCACTGGGAAATCTGCACTGGGCTTGCTAATGAGCTTAGTGCACTGCCTCTGGCACTTTGAGGTGTTTGTTAGTTAATGTTTCCTTTTGGGAATTCTGTAAGTCTAAGTATGAATAAAACATCATTGTCCAGCTTTCTGATTTCTCAAATGTATTTGTTAGTCAAGACCAGACCAGGAGTGCACAGAGCATGGGGGAAAAGAATCCATGAAGAAATCGGGGAAATGCTGACCACTCAGTAAATAAGAATGCTGAGAGAGAGAAAAAATAATAAAAGCTAAGCTTAATGTACAGTCTGTAAAGTCATTCTACTTTAATATATGACAAGTCAGAGATGCCATTTGAGAGTTGAGATTAGAAGAAGTCAATATTGCATCTGAACTCTGCAGGACAGGTGTCCTCTTCCTTCTTTTGTCCTTTAAGGAGGGATGTCTTCCCCTGTAGTTATTTTTTATCCTAAGGATTAACACCAGAGACTTATGTGTGGAATTATCAGAAGGTCATTTTTACTTGTAAGCCATTTCAGGTGATTTAGCTGGGTAAGGGGTTCTACATCTTGCACTTAATCAGAAATCAAAAGATCCTGTGTAGAATGCTTGGGAGCCTAAAACAATGATAGCACTCTAGGTTATGAATGATGCTATGCCTGGACAAAAAATATATATATCAGTATCTTCTGCATTTTCTTATTTGTTGAAAACCTTTCAGGCTTCTACACCCTTAGCCATTATAATTATTTAGGTATGCATACTTCCTCAAAAACTAACACCAGAGTATCGACACTTGTGAAAATACTCAGATTATCTTCCAATTGTAGAGATACAATTATTATTTTTATAACATTAATTCTTAAATTATCTTTGAGTAGTTGTACAAAGAAGTTTCAATCCAACATATCAGTTTTTGAGTAGAATACATCTTGATCAATGTCACCCCTTCCATTGTTTTCCCACCATCTCTTACAACCTTACTCATTCTCTCAAGTTCCATTTTCACATAGGTATATTGAATATTATGACTGCATTTGCCAACCCATCCTCTTTCTGTCCGTCTGTCTCCCCTCCCCTTGACTTTGCCCCTTACTATTGTGTTTCAGTTTTCTGGTGTTCATTCTGTTCAACTGTCAGTTAATTGTTGAAAGGAGTTACACCACTGGAATCCTCCCATGCGTATACCATACTTGAGTCAATGTGTGTATATTTGCACCTACCCTGTTTTCATATGTTTATAAGTTAAATCTAAACCCTACATATGAGAGAAAACGTGCCCTTTGTAGCGGTGTCATTTTTCTATGGAATAAAGTGAGTCAATACATTTATTCAGCAACTGTTGAGTTATTAAACACACTGTGCCAGTCATTCACAGATGCTCCATTGTCTTCTGTTTACCACTCTTGCTCATCCCTGCCATCCTTAAAATACCTGACACATAGTAGGTGCTGTTTTTCTGTTCCCAAGCATTTTGTGAGCTTGCTACTTGCAAACTGTCTTTCCTCCTCTGTAGAATGAAGGCTTTGTTTCTGGTGCTGAATTAGCTTATGTTTTCACTTTAAAGGCTTTGGTATTGTAAAGGGAAATGGAGTAGATGCAGGAAGAAGAGACATTCATGAGGGAGTTCCTTCATTATGTCCTGTTTCTGTTCCTTTGGGCCCAAGCTGATAATGTTTCTACTGACACAACAATCTTTTTTTTGCATTTTTATTTTATTTTTTATTATTATCTTTAAGTGGTTCCCAAAGAAGTTCCCATTCTACTAAACAGTATATGAATACAAAGTGTCTGACAACATTGTCACCCATCGCTCCTAACCCATCCCTTCTCTCACTTTTTTTCTTTAATTGAGATTAGGTGATACATAAATTTCACATATTTCATAGTATTGTGGAGTAGTGACAGTTAAAGTCACAAACTCATTTTAACCTTCACAAGGAAAATGGTCATTATCATGGTCTATACAGTTTGTGAATTCTGTGAGCTTTGACAATACAAGTTATTTTTTCTACATCAGGTGATGTTTACATTTTTTTTCCTTTTGCTCAGTGTAGGCTGTTCTCACTTATTCTGTTCCTCCTACTGGCTTCCTTCTGTTCCATGAATATATCTATCATATACATTGTCTAGAACATGGAGTCATCTAGCAATGATAACAAAATGGGTGGCTGTCCTTTGTTTCTTGAGTCCTGTTACTTTGCCATATCTTCTCATATTTTGGCTTTAGCATCCAGGAAGACCATGTGCCATTTGTCTCTTTGTTCCTGGCTTACTTTGCTCAAAATAATCTGCTCTAGTTCCATCCATTTCCCTGAAAATGCCATTTATCTTTCTAAAGGCTCCATAATATTCCATTGTATATAGGTACCACAGTTTTTGGATCCACTCATCAGTAGTGGGGAATCTGGGTTGTTTCCAAATCTTGGCTATTCTGAACAGTGCTACAATAAACATGGAGGTGCATGTGTCTTTGTATATGGCTTCCTGTTGTTCAGGGTAGATGCCTAGGAGTGGTATGGCTGGGTCATAGGGGAGGTCTATGTTTAGCTTTCTGAGGACCCTCCAGACTGCTTTCCAAAGTGGTTGTATTAGTGTACATTCCCACCAGCAATGCAATAGGGTTATTCTTTCTCTGCATCCCCTCCAGATTTGTCGTTGGCTGACTTTGGCATGTGGGCCTTTCTGACTGGGATAAGGTGGTATCTCAGTGTTGTTTTTATTTGCATTTCCTTTACAGCCAGGGATGATGAACATTTCCTCATGTGTTTCTTTGCCATTTTTATCTCTTCTTCTGAGAAGTCTCTCTTTAGCTTCCTTGCCCATTTCATGATTGGTTTGTTAGATTTCTGAGGGATTAGTTTCTTGAGTTCCCTGTATATAATGGATATTAGACTCTTGTCTGATATTTTGCTGGTAAATATTTTTCCCAATTAGTTGGGTGTCTTTCTAGTTTGGTTGCTATTTCTTTGTCTGTTCAGAAACTTTTTATTTTAAGGTAGTCTCATTTGTCCAGTCTCTCTCCAATTTGTTGTGACCCTGGGACTCTGTTCAGGAAGTTCCTACCTGTGCCTATAAGTTCAAGTGTCTCTCCTACTCTATCCTGCAGTAGTTTCAGAGTATCAGGTTTGGTGTTAAGGTCTTTAATCCATTTTGAGTTGATGTTAGTGCATGGTGACAGGCTAGGGTCCACTTTCAGTTTAATGCATGTGGCCAACCAGTTTTCCCAGCACTGATAGTTGAAGAGGTTATGATTCTTCCACTGTATGTCTTTGACTCCTTTATCAAATATCAACTGCCTATTATGCAGCTTTATTTCTGGGTCCTTTAGTATGTTCTCTTGGTCTTTGGGTCTCTTTTTGTGCCAGGACCAAGCTGTCTTTGTTAATATGGCTCTATAGTAGAGCTTGAAATCCAGTATCGTGATCCCTCCTGCGTTGTTTCTTTTGCCTAGAATTGCTTTGGCTATTCTAGGTCTTTAGTTGTTCCATACAAACTTTTGGACTATTTTCTCTATTTCAGTAAAGTATGTCATTGGGATTTTCATGGGAATTGCATTGAATGTGTATATCAATTTTGGCAGTAAGGTCATTTTTACTATATTCTGCTTATTCAGGAACATGGGAGATCTTTCCATTTCCTGGTATCCTCTGTGATTCCTTTTTTAAAGGTTTTTGTAGTTTTCATGAAATACAGCCTTTATATCTTTGGTTAGGTTAATTCCTAGATACTTATTTTTAGGTTATTGTGAATGGGGTTAGTTCCTTGATTTCCCTTTCTGCTTTTACATTGCTGGTGTACAGAAAGGCCACTGATTTTTGTGGGTTAATTTTCTATCCTGCTACTTTGCCGAAGTGGTTTATAAGTTCTAAGAGTTTGGGGATGGAGCCTTTGGGATTGTTAAGGTATAAAATCATGTCATTTGCAAAAAGAGATAGTTTAACTTCTTCCTCCCCTATGCGGATCCCTTTAGTGTCTTTTTCTTATTGCTCTGGCTAAGGATTCCAGAACTATATTGAAGAGGAGTGGAGAGAGTGGGCATCCTTGCCTTGTTCCTGTTTTGAGGGGAGTTGGTTATAGTTTTTCCCCATTAAGTATAGCATTGGCTTTTATTGTTTTAAGGAATGTTCCTTCTATCCCTATTTTTTTCCAAAACTTTTAACATGAATGAATGCTGTATTGTATCGAAAGCCTTTTTCGAGTCATTGGAAATAATCGTGTGGTTCTTGAGCTTGGATCTGTTGATGTGATGGATTACATTTATTGACTTACATATCTTAAACCATTCCTGCATCTCTGGGATGAAGCCTACTGGTCATAATGTATGATTTTTTTGA